CCTGAAAGGAAATCAAGGCCACAGCTGATGCTAACAGACCAGATTCTGTTTCCTGCACTGCAGAAAAGTGGGGGTAGCTGTTCAGCCAAAAAAGGGTATTGATCATCTCCTGCGTCTGGCACCATGCTAGGCCCTGGGTTCCAGCACAGCAGATGCCATCCCTTCCCATGGGGCACTTACGCCTTCTGCAAAGGCTGCCGTGGTCCCTGAGGTCAGTCATTCCTACAGCACATCCCTGACATACTCAAGTGCACCCTCACACGCCCCCACACACCACAGCATCACGCACGACTCGCATACTTGAATACGCCGTCATTCACAAACACCCCCACTCACACACCTGTATATCTACATCACATCACACTGACATAACTGACACAGACTACACACTCACATGCATGCACTCACCACACACACTCCAACACGCGTCACACATGCAGTGACTGCTAAACACACACGAAGCAGTTATCTCCTCCTTCCTTTGTACTCCCTTAGCTCCTGTGTGAAGTTAGCTGCGGCATTTACCATACCGTAATGTGATCAATTACATCATGCCCCTCCTCCACCTCTGTCTCAACCTGGAAACTTTCGGAGTTCATTTCTGTAAGCCCACCTTCCTGCTCAGTGCCTGCCACATAGCAGGTGCTCAGTTACGTTCACTGAGTGAGCTTTGAATGCCACAACTATGAACTTTGGTCCGAGGAGCAAGTCTCACCCTCTTTCCACCGGCTGGAGTTAGAATTAAGAGGGAAAATATCTAAGGGAGTCCCTCAGCAAAATGCCAGGTTCTGTGACAAAATTCTCCCAGCTCAGCTCTATAGCACCCAGTGATCCTTCCTGCTTGTCCCACTTGTTGGAGGGAAACCAGTGACCTTGTGAGAAGAGGCAGAAGAGACTGTCAGATCTGCATGGCGGTCTCAAGGTCCCTACCTGATTCTCCTGTTTCTCCCTTTTTCCTTTCACAATATTACTCCCCAGTAAACCTTTTGCACACAACTGCAAAAGAAGGAGTGGGAGGGAAAGGAGGAGGAGGAGCATGAAAGAATAGCTGCATCTCTATAGCACGCACCCATTAGTGAGAGCCACATGCCTAGGTCTGACCTTCAGCTTCAAGGAGCCAGAAATCTGATTTCTCAGTCCTCTGAAGGTTGAGCAGCTGTCAGGATACTGAGATGTGCTCACCAGTTGCATGTAGGATGGTAGGTAGACTGAGCAGCTGATAAATCTCAGGAGAGAGAGGGGAGGGGAGAGGAGGGGAGGGGAAGGGAGGGAAGGGGAGTGAGGAGGGGAAGGAGGTGAGGGGGAAAGGAAGAGGTGAGCAGGGGGGGAAAGAGGGAAGGAAGAAGAAGAAGGGGAGAGGAAGGGAGAGGAGGAGGACAGAGGAGGGAAGGAAAGGAGAAGAGGAGAGAGAGGGGAAGGGGGAAGAGGGCAGGGGAGAGGAGGGCAGAGGAGGGAAGGGAGGGAGAAGAGGAGGGGAGGAGAAGGGGAAGAAGGCAATGGAGAGGAGGGGAGGGAAAGAGGAGGGCAGAGGAGGGGAAGAGGAGGTCAGGGGAGGCTAGGGGAGGGAAGGGAGGAGGGGAGGGGAGTTGAAGGGAGCAAAGTGGAGGGGAGGGAAAAGGGGAGGGGAAGGGAGCAGAGGGGAGGGGAGAGAGAAGGGGAGGGGATGGGAGGGGAAGGGAGGAGAGGGAGAAGTGGAGAGGAGAGAAGGGGAGGGGAGAGGAGGGGAAGGAAGGGAAGGGAGGGAAAGGGCCCAGATGCACCCTAGAGCACTTACTCCACCTGTAAGGTCGATTCTGAAGCAGCAGCCCAATCCCTGGGGCTGCTATGCCCACAACTTTCTAGTGGCAGGTCAGCACCAGGCCATGCCCAGGCCAGCACCAGGCCATGCCCAGGCCAGATGGAATGCCAGCATAACTTCGGAGCCACCCACCCCTTCCCTGTGGCAATATCTGTTGGGTTTGGCCAACGGTAGCCATCCCTGATGCTCTGCTGAGGTTGTGTGACACCTGCCCACACACACTCCCACCCCTCCCAGGCACCTTCACACCCGAGCACAGCCCGGGGGAGCAGCTCCTATTCCAACATCACTCTTAGGAACTTGACTCTGTCCCCAGGCTCAGCTTCCAGAGACCAGGACTTGCCCATCTCCCCCTCCCCCACCACAATACACCACTACTGAGTCCTCTCTTTTCTTTCTGCAAGAAGGCAGCAGCAGGCAGGACCTTTAGCCTTTGGGGCTGTTTCCCCACCACCAGGCTGAGAGCTGTACTCCACCTGGGGACCCATTAGCATTTTGAACGTTCTCATTCCCATACACATCCTGCCCTGGGATCATCCTCTTCCTTGAGGCATTAGCACCTTCCCTTCCCCTTTCTCACCCAGCCCTGCCTGCCTGGGGTCAGCCTTCAATCCACACAGTGCCTGGGTTAGAGCCTAGAGGCCTGGTCACACTTCCCCAGCATGTTTCACAGCCCATCTCTTCCTGTCAGAGGCTTGTCCTGAAGTCCTGAGCCCCTCCCATCTTTTCTCCCTCCCCACACAAGAGGTGTTCCCATAATCAGTAGGCATCAGTCAGCTCTAATCAACCCCCTATTTTGACTATTTTAGCAGCAATAAAAGGGCCATAAAGAGCAAGTCAGTGGGCCCTCTAGGAGCATGGCGCTCCTTCACTGTGATATAATGAAAAACACCAAGTGCTTCCTCGGAGCCCTAAGTGACAGCCCTGGCCGCAGAGCTATTGGGGGAAGCCTAATTATGCTATAAATTAAAGGGCTTTTTTTTAACCCAACATTATGACCTTTAATAAGATTGTTTTTACAACCGGCTGTCAATAAATCATCCAGGAGCACCAGTGAGAAGCATTCTCTGAGAACTTCTGCGAATTTCATTAGCTGCAGTTTATTTGGTTTTGGTGAACTATGATGTTTTTTAAATCTCAAATTAAAGGCTTTGAACCATAAAAGCTAATTCAGAAAAGTTCCCATTTCAGCCTCTGAAAACAAGCCCCCCTAATTGCAGAAATTAGTTGCAATGTGGCCAGGCCAGGAGGTCATTAGCTGGGAAGCAATGACAAGTGCCCGAGGCTTCCCCAGACTTGGCAGCCATGGCCCCCACAGAACCTGAAGGTGACAGTCCCAGAGTGGACAGCTGGCCCCACCATGGCCAGGCCCTGGGAGGTCACAGCCCTGAGGACTGCTGAACTCAAGAGAGACAGGCCAGCTCACAAGCTCGGGCTGAAAGGGGCTAGCCCTGCCACCTGAGCCCATGTCCTTGGTCAACAGATTCAAGAAGCCCACAAGACTGTTCAAAGTATGTCTTGGAACTTCCCGCCTCCATCTTTCCAGAGTCCCTCTCTGGTCCTCCTCAGAACAGTGACACTGCATGTGTGTTACAGTCTTTCTGAAATACATTAACAGGTGACAGATGAAGACCATGATGTAAAAATAGCATATTAAGAGGTGTCGGTTATGACGATAAAGTCCACAGAGTCGGTGCAGACACGGCCAACAGAAGCAGGGAAGATGATGTGAGGTAGTTACCCACCTTCTAAGAGAGCAAGCGGGCCGGGTATATGCGATGCAGCAGCTAACGTGCGGATGCAGGCCAATATCAGGAGGCCTGGATTTAAATTCCAGCCCAACTATGAATTCTGAAAACCTGGAAAAGGATAGATTATGAAGCCAGACAGACTTCGTTCAAATACTGGCTTCAGCTCTTGGTAGCTGAGTGGCCTAAGGCTAGTTACTTCAACTTTCTGGACCTCAGTTTCCTCATCTGAAAAATGGGGACATTAGTACTTCCCGCAGAGGATTGTGGTGAGGGTGAGCAAGCTGAGGCTGTGAATCACAGGGCACAGTGCTGGCGTCTGTAAGCTCTCAATTAACATCAGCTGGTAACAATCATAGTAAGAGAGGTGATTGGATTTACCTCCCCAGGCCTCAACTTTATCATCTGATTTCAACTTTATCAAATGATTTCTAAAGCCACTCACATCACTGTACGGAAGTGACTCTGAGAGATATAAACTCTACTGCTTAAACCTACCAGAGGCCTCACATTGCCCACAGGATTCAGTCTAAGCTCCTTGGAAACAGCCTGCCTGGCTGGGTCCCTGACTGCCCCTCCAGGTCTATCTCCCGCCAGTTGCAGTCAAGAGAACGTGTGCTCACAATACCCTCTACCTCTGGGCCCGGGCACAGTCTCCCCCTGGCTGGGATGATTCCCTCCAGAGCCTCTTCACCTGGCTCATTCCTACCCTTTCTGCCAGCACCTAAAGTCACTTCTCCCAGGAGCCTTTCCTAACCCCCATCCCCACCCCTTCACTCCCACATGTGCCGCTGTAATACCTGTTACTCCTGCTATCAGAGACCTCATCACTTTGCACTGACCACTTTGTCTAACTCACCGTCCCCACCAAAGTGGGCAGCATAGACCGTGTCTGTTCCGGTCTCCTTGGATCCTCTAAGTCAATACCGTCCTTGGCATATGGTATGTGCTTAAAATATCTGCCGAAGGAATGTTAAATGACACAGCATTTAGAGACATACTATACGGGGGAATAAAACTATATGTGGAAATAGAATAAGTTATTTTGTAAGCAGTTATTTGATTTGTAACTAGAAGTTGGGTTCTTTCTTTTAATTGATTATCTTAGATCTTACTGTGGCCTTAACCATTTGGCCCTCATCTCCTTTTTCCTCAGAGAATGAGGCAGAAGAAAAGAGGAAAATCTAAAGAAGGGACTAAATAAGGTAAGGCTGGCTCAGAAAAGATTGACTTTGAGAACTAAGACATACTGAGGCTGGGACCCAGTAGGGTCCTCCCTCCACATTCTCCCATCTGCCCAGCTTCCACAGCTCAGGGGTCTTTTCTCCAAGGGCAGAAACATGAGTGGCTCTAAAATTTCCCAATGAAAGCCATCCATGAAGTTGTGCGTGGGAAATGAAACTCCAGCCCATGGGCGTCAGCAACTGTGAAGAAAGCGTGGCATCCACACTCACCTGGGCTTCCTTTGGTTTGCCTCATTAATCAGCTCCCCAGGTCATCCGTGCGTCTCGCCTCAGGCTCACAGGTCTGGTTTTTGTATAATACACATTTCCGCCAGTTTTTATTTCATCTGTTTTTTTCAAGCAGCCTTTCCATTATTTCTGAACATTTGACTTAAAAAAATGTAAATTACAGACGCCTGCGGATTGACGTAATGTGAAAAGAAGGCGGCTGTTTCCCCTTCCTCCAAACAGGGAACACGGTTTTTCAAACTAATAAACCCCTTAAACCTCATGAAGCCCATTTCGACCTTTTTAAATGGCTACTTTCAGATGGGGAAGGGGAAAGGCAGCAGCAGGAGGAAGTGTTGGGGCCGTGTCATGGCGGGAGAGGGAATGATCCCAGCTCGTGCAGATAGAGTCTGTCCCTTCCCTCAGTAGGAAGTTGCAGCCAACAAGAGCCTGGCCATGCTGAGCCTGGAAGGGGAAAGCCCACAGCATGGGGACAGGCCTCGGGAGTCCTGGTCGGAGGAGAGATTGAGCAGATGCAGGAAAGAGGAATTTTGTGGTACCAGGGGATTCTGGAGAAGGTGAGAGCTGAGGGATCAAGAGGGAAATCGGAGGGATCTGCTTTGACACTGTGGCTGGGATTGTGGGTGGGAGGGCATTGGTGGGAGCAGCAGTGTTGAAGCTACCTGGGAGGCAGAGCCAACATTGCCTGCCTTCTCTAAAAGCAGGAATTGCATATGGAGGAGACCATGCAGTTGGGGTTATGGACCATGGGGAGGTTTGAAATAGAGCCATGAAAAGCTCAAGGAAACAACGAAAGTTGAAGGACTAATCGACCTCTCGTGTACAAGACTCTTCTGTTTTGAACACTGGCAGAAAGGATGGACCCACTCTAGGGATAGAGTCAAGAGTCGCTTTCCTCATTCCAGAGAGCTCTGGCTGACTGTCTACCTAAGCATTGGGTCCTATTCTGCCTACCACCCTGAACCAAGCAGGGAGCAAGACACATAGAAATATTTATTAATAACTGAATGAGCTAATACATGAATGGATGAATGACCAAATGGAATAAGCAGTTTCTAAACAAATTTAATCCTTCTGGCAGGAAGTATGTGTGCCTTTTCTCCAAGAACACCAAGGTTATGCCATGTACAGTGGTACAGGTACTAGGGATCCAGATAAGTTTTTTTTTCCCCCCTTTCAAAGCAGCCTGTTATTCAGGCAGCAAAGCATTCTAACAACAATTGAGGAGTCTCTCTCTTGCTTTGTCTCTCTCCAGGGTTCAACCGGCTGGGATCTGCAAATTAGAGACAGCAGAAGGGACAGCAAAGTCCACTTGGAAACTCCCTAAGGAGAAGCTGGCAGGGACAACCCTGTGCCTCCCCCATGAGTTGATGATCCTTGCTGTTTGGAGGCTGAAAACAGGTCTTTGGAGTTTCCGGCTTTTCCTCCAGCAAATCAGCTGCAGCTTCCCTTCTATTCCAGGCTGGTTTGAAAATAACTTCTCCAGTGCCTCCACCTCCCAATCCATGAGGAGACTTAAAATTTAGCAAGCTCAGCCCTTCCCCATCACATTCACATCAAAGGACAATGCTAGAGACCTCCAAGGGAAATACTTCTGCACCCCAGGACCCTGGGATTCACACTTCCCTCCAGGCAGCTGCAGGGGAATGGAGGAAATGAATCATCTGAGCAGAGGGAACTCTGGAATCAGCCCTTCCTCTACTGAGGCCACGGACGGGTTGCCACTCAAAAGGAAAATGTAGGTGTCTCCTGCAATTTGAACAGGCTGTGGATGTGCTTTGCCATCGCCATGGTACTCTGCCTTCTAATTCAGGGAGCAGAGGATAAGGCCTCTTAGAGCACAAAATCTTTGAGCTAAACCACTTTGAGTGAAAAGTAAAATCACTTTAAAAAATACAAGTGCTTATCAACTTTATTCAGCTCCTATTTAGATGTGAAAAATGTTCCGGAGGGAGGTCTCCTGAGCAAGGGCCAGGATTTACTGTGTGTTTCCCACAAACAGGGCTCACCGGTTCATTCTGTGAGAAATGAAACCCAGCAGACCCACCCAGCAGGCCTCACGGGCAAAAAGGAGTCTACGCCAGATTAAAAAATCCACTTCAGGACTTTTTTACTGCTGGAGTGGGCTGGAGAGCTGTCAATGGGTAGGAAAATAGCACATCTGGAATGTGGCTCTGTCCCCATGCTGGCTGGTATAACTCAACATGTACGTCAGATCTTTTTTTTTTTTTTTAATGGCCAAGATTTATCTGGCTTCTATTCATTTTTCAAGTCCAGGGTGAATATGATTGTTAACTTCTATACTTTTACATTTGTGTAAATTAAAAGCCATATTTCACTACTGGGCAGATGGCTTGCTTGCCTTAAAGGTAAAAATGGCAAAGCTAAGCACTACAATCCAAGACACGGATTACCCAACTCACCCAGGAGATACTAAAAGTGAAAGATCTTCTGATTTTCCTCACCAAGGCTATATCCCCTTTGTGCCTTTATAAAATCTGGTTCTGGAAAAGTTGGCGCCAAGACGCTCAAACTGCAAGTAGGCTTTTGGATTAATTTAGTCAGTCATGTTCTGACTGTGGCAACAAGAGGCTATTACAGGCTGTTTTTTATTATTATTTGATTTTATTTTTTGTAGGAAGCAAATTGGTTTGTAAAACAGATATAGCCATTTTAACTCCTAAAGATATTTGGAGGAAAGTGAGTGGATCCTTCCGGAAACAGCTATCTCTTGCTTTGTTTTTGGTTGGGGGTTGACATCCATTTTGAGCATAAGGGAATGTCTTTTTCATGGAAGTCCATACTTGGCATTTTCTCTTAAGTTAAAAGCAAAAGCAATATAATAAACGTTTGCTAACAACCCCCCACATACTTAGATTTATTGGCTAGTTAAATCTTTAATGGTTAAAGTTAAAAACCTTTTATTTCAAGGGCTTGGGGATTTGCACAGCTGGAATGTTACATTTTAATATATTCAAATTGGAATGGAAAAGCCAAAGTGACCAAGACATTGACTTTCTTGGATGTCCCAAGCTTGCCCCAGGGCCTCCTTCCTCACCCCGAGCCAAGTCCAAAGAGGGAGGAGGAGAGGGGGAAGGCAAGCATACCACAGGGGCCCATTTGCGTGGCTCCCTTCCTACTTTCTCCCTCTCTCGTCCTACACGCAAGTCATTGAAAAATCAAGGAGTCTCTACATTCTAATTCTACCACTCAAGTGAGCCATCTTGGCAGGGTCACACTCTGCTGGTCTCACCCGTCTGGAAACTCCCTAATTTGGTCATCTGGGTTAGAAAGGTGGTGAAGATGCTGGGGTCACTGACTTGATGAGGGTTGATAATGTGATGAAGGGAGATGGGAGAGAATGGAAGACGATCAAAGCACACTGGAAAGACATGATTTCAGATAAGAGGTGGGAGTGACAAAAGTGGCAACGGGTGGTACCGATGACATCTAACCAAATGCTTACTCTCTGTGCCAGGTCATTTCGAGTTGCTTTACACGAATTGTTTTATGAATTCACGAATCTAGCACCATTTTTCCCTTATACAGACAAGGAAACTAAGGTGTATAGAGCTAAGCAAATCGCCTAGGAGGAGACAGACCCAAGCAATGACTGGACAGAGTATAATTTTGATGGAGGCTTCAAAGAAATGAGAATAGGAATATCAGAGGCCTTGAAAATTGAGAGGCATGAGTGTTCAATCACTGCTGAAGCAGAACCAATAAGGATAGTTCCATCACTTCCAGGAAACATGATTATGAGGAAATGCTCGTTGTCATCCACATCCCACAAGCGCACACCGCCACTTCATCCCAGTAGTTCCTCATGCACCTTAATACACAGAAACATGTTCTGACAGAGATATTTTATGCACTCATCTACTCACTTCACAGACACATGCTTCAGAAACACACACACTATGGCACCAATGCTGTCACACAGATGCGCCAACGTTCAGACTCACATCTTCTGGCACCGCACATGTACACACGTGCACACACACACTTGTACACGCGGTGGTGGGGGGGTGTATGAGATGCAGTTATCTCTTGATGATCCCTTGGGATTCCACCATGCCTTTATTTCTCAAATATTGACTGACTGTTGGCTGTCCTACTGACAATGATCCACCTAGCCAAGAGTGGATCCTCAAGGACACAGGATAAAGCATGTGGATCAGATGGCCAGGAATATAAGACGATCCAAAGGCTTCCAGACACAGTAGAGATAAATAGAATCTTCCACCCATCACTTTCAGTCTCCCATCCTAAGAGTCTTGGACTCTCACCTTGAGAAGAATCAACCCAGCCTTTGCTAGTGGCTTTTGCCATTAGGGGTTAAAGGTCAAAGTTGGGGTCATTGGTCACCAAAGAGGATGAAGACTGCAGACAGCAGGCATGTGGGTCATTCTTGTTAAGGAAACTTGACTGCTGAGCCCAGGAAGACTCAATGGAACACACCAGGCTCCCTGTGAATTTTCTAGCTCTGAAACGTTAATATTTCTCAGATGGAGGCTCACAACGTTCACAAGGTTTTCAATTTCAAGGCCATTTTTGCTTTTTTTAAGTGGGGTTTGATGTTCTCTGCACAAACACAGGTTTAACAATCGACAGAACACCAGGCGGCCCACCTTGGCACTTGTACGTCTGTCTTGCAGGACAGTGAGGCCACTCAGCTGGTATTGTCTGCAAAGCCATGACTCTCTGATCCCTGGCACAGAAACCTTGCCAATTGCAGGAAGTTGGGAAATAAAAGAAACTTTTCAAATAAAAAGATGTCAATTTAACAGCCAGGGACCTGGAAACAGATGGTCCTCGCCCAGACCAAGAGTCGCCCATCCACCCGCCCATCCGTCCTCCAGGTTTTCAAAGTCACTTCTTGTCAGGTGCCCTGGTTAAGAGGGAGAATTAATGAGCTGTGCTCCCTTTTACGGCTGCCGTCTGATGTGGGAGCTGTGTGCAGAGCACTCCGTGGACAGGCCAGCTCGGCCCCAGCCCTTCCTCCAGCAGCTCAGCCTGGATCAAAGTGGAGAGCAGCTCAGCTTTTATAGCAAAATGATTAAAACCACGTGGGGCTTGTTTCCTCACACGTGATCTCCCGACAAAGTGCAGAGCAG